GGCTGCCCGCTCCTGGCTGCCCGCAGGTGCTGGAGTACAACGTGCCAGGCGGGAAGTGCAACCGCGGGCTGACGGTGCTGGCCGCCTTCCGGGAGCTGGCGGCCCCCGGGCAGCAGGACCCGGAGAGCCTCCGGTGCGCCTTGGCCGTCGGCTGGTGCATCGAGCTGGTAAGAGCTGGGGCAGACGGGGGCCCCGTGGGTATCCCGTAGGGACCCCCACAGCCCCCTAACCCAGCCTCTTGCAGTTCCAAGCCTTTTTCCTGGTGGCTGATGACATCATGGATGCGTCCCTCACCCGCCGGGGGCAGCTCTGCTGGTATAAGAAGGTGAGAGGGTTCAGGAGGCCCCTGTCCGCTGGGGGAGGGCAGGGAGTCCTGTGGGGTCAAGGTGTTTTGTGACACCTCCCTGCCCTCCTGGTGCAGGAGGGGATCGGTCTGGATGCCGTCAACGATGCCTTTCTCCTCGAGTCATCTGTCTACAGGCTGCTGAAGAAGTACTGTGGGGAGCGCCCCTACTACCTGAGCCTGCTGGAGCTTTTCTTGCAGGTGAGCCTGGCCCCTGCATCCCCTTCCCACAGATTTACCTTGGGTCTGGGCCGTTTCTGGATGTTTGGTGGTGTGCAGGTCTCAGACTCTTCCTTAAGTTCCGGGGCATCCTGCCAGGCGTGCACCCTTCCTTCAGACTCGGAGAGGAGTCAAAATGGGGCTTGGGTTTGGGGTTTTCAGTGTGCTGTTGGGACTTCCCTGCGGGATGAATAAATCCTTTCTTTCCTCTTCAGACTGCCTACCAGACCGAGCTTGGGCAGATGCTGGACCTCATCACCGCTCCTGTTTCTCAGGTGGATTTGAATCGCTTCAGTGAGCAGAGGTAAAGAGGTGGAAAGGGCAGAGATGCCAGCCCTGTTGTGGCAGGTTGGCTCTGCTTGCAGTCCCTTCCAGACTGTGTAAGAGAGACAACGGCTTGGTGAAATGCTGCTGTCACCTACCAGGCGTTGCCGAGCGAATATTGCTCACGCTGTCAGAGCTTGGGGGCTGGTTTGGAGGGAGATGCTGTTTTTTCCTGCTGGCCCTGATCTGCAGAGCCCTGATGGGAGAGGAAGGCCTGGGCTTTGTCACTGAGTGTCTTTCCCCTGTCACAGGTATAAGGCAATTGTTAAGTACAAGACGGCATTCTACTCCTTCTACCTGCCCGTGGCCGCTGCCATGTACATGGTGAGTTTTATGCAAACAGTCTCAGGAGGGACCTAACCTTTGGTATGAGGCTGTCGAGGAGTGGGGGGAGTTTGGGACATGGGAAAAGTAAGGGTGGAAGGCAAGTACTGGAAGGGCTTATTCCTTTTCCCCCCCCTCTTAGGCTGGTATTGACAGTAAGGAGGAGCATGACAATGCCAAAGCGATCTTGCTGGAGATGGGTGAATTCTTTCAGATCCAGGTAGGAGGTGGCTCCCCGTCACTCAGTGCTTGTAAGACACTGGTTGGGGTGCTCACGTGTTTCCATCTTCGTACAGGATGATTACCTGGACTGCTTTGGGGACCCGGAGCTGACGGGCAAGGTTGGCACTGATATCCAGGACAATAAGTGCAGCTGGCTGGTGGTGGAGTGTCTGCGTCGGGTCACACCAGACCAGAGGTGGATCCTGGAGGTAACACCACCAGGCTGACAAACCCCCTGGAGATGGGGGAGAGGTGGTGTGGACTCCCTCCCTGAGGACACAGTGTAGAGGGAATGTAATGCCATAACATACACCTTGAAAAGCCATGTGCTGGCCTGCAGAGCTGCACTGTGCTGCTACCTGGCTGGGAGAAGGCTTGGTTGTTGTGAGTAGTGTAAGACAGTAGCAGGGAGAACAAGAGGTGACTCCTGCCATGCTTTGAACGAGCAGCTCTGGCGGTGGCCATAAGCTGGACCTCAACCTGACTTGTTCTGGTGTTTTCTCAGGAGAACTATGGCTGTAAGGAGCCTGAGAAGGTGGCAAAGGTGAAGGAGCTCTATGAATCTCTGGGCATGAGGGCTGCTTTTCAGGAGTATGAGGAGAGCAGCTATCAGCGCCTGCAGGAGCTGATCAAAAAGCATGCCAACCGCCTCCCCAAGGAGATCTTTCTTGGCCTAGCTCAGAAGATTTACAAGCGCCAGAAGTGATGGTGGGCCTGCCTGTGGACTGCTTGCTCTTTGCTAAGGGGGCCTGGTGGGTTTGCCCCCGCCCCCCCCCGCCCGTAGCTGCCTCGAGCTGGTCCCTGCCCCACCATCAAGTGGGTCTCCTGCCCTGGGGTGGGGTGCCAGGGGCTGTTTGTAGACCGCGTGTGGGGGCTGCTGGGGGTTTTGTAGATCATCCGCCAGCCTCTGTGTCAATAAATATAAATTATTGTGGTCGTGTCGCTGCCTGGTGTTGTCTGGGGATGGGGCTGAACCGGGGTGGGGGGCGGGGGGATGCCAGCACCCCCACGCTTTCCGGCCGCAGGGGTTG